TCACATTGAAAAAATACATATCTCGACCTGGGAATGTCCAAACTGCAACCCTCTTGGTCCTGCAGAATCAAAACTTGCACCACAGCGACATATCCAAAATTCGGGGCCAGATTCCATCAGGACAAGTCGGAATGAACTTTCGAAGGCGGTGCACAAATCTGTCATTTCGGCTTCACAGCACTGCATGCTATTATTGGAATGCACATATCTCAAGCTAGGAGCGTCCGAATCGCGAGCCGTCTGCGCCATTGGAAAGAAGACTCATAGATAATGAAATCTTCAAGATATCATAGAAGAATTCCTAGAAGATTGTCCGCAAAAACTTTCTGAACTTGACCCATCTGTCCACGAAATTGTTTTTCAGCTTTGCGCGCTATAGTGGAAAAATTCATATCTCGAGCTACAAGTGTCGGAATTACAATCCGTTTGCAACGTTAGAAATAAAACTCGGAGACCTGAAGGACCTATAAATTTCATGGCAGAACTCCTTTCGGGCTATCGACAGAAAATTTACGACATCGACTTAACTGCATTGAGCTTTCAGATTTGTGTACCTTCAGCAAAAATAATTGTATCTTGAGCTAGGAGTATCGGAATTACAATCCGTTTGTTCCATTGGAAAGAAAACTCCTAGAGCTGCAACACATAAAAATTCCATCTCGGAACTTTTTCCGGGCTAGAAACAGAAAAATATTGAAAGTCAAACTGACCGCAGGGAACTTTCAGGTTTGCGTGCTTTTGGCCAGAAAAACTGTATCTTGAACTAGGAGCGTCGACATCACCAACAGTTTGATCCTATGAAATTCGGATGTCGAGAACTATAATCTCGTCGAAGATGAAGCTCCATTCATTCTTAGTTAACCTAACAAATATTTTTGAAGTTGATTTTACAGCCTTGTAATGGATTCGGCTATCATCACGAATCTTATCTCTTTGTTTATTTCTTTTGCAGACTTGCGAAGAAGTTCGATGAGTCCAGATATCAGTCTGAGATGTCATACAAGATGCGGAGTCACCCCTTCACCAACTTTTGCACTTGATTTGTTGACAGTCTTGAAGTTTATCAATGGCAGCTCCCGTGGTGATTGAAGGTTTTTTCAAGAGAGATGACTTCTTATACACGAGGCATTGAGGATAGTGTATTAAAATGTGGAGACGTCATATGGACTTGGAAGAAGCATTCAAGACGAGTCNTCTACACTTGGAAGAATTAACGTAATGATCCGATGACGCCAAGCTTTTATTTTTTTTTAAACTTATGCGACTGAACTTAGAATGAAACTCTAAGCTGCCTATGTACCTCGGTAAAGAGGATCAAGTCATAACGTAGTTCAGACGAGTGAGTTCTTTTTTTTTTTGGTCTTGACTTTTGCCTAGGCCGCCTCTTTCGAGGTTTTCAACCTAGCAGACTCTTTTTTTTTTGGCCGTACACAGTTTAGACTCATGCAGGCCAGGAGTGTAGCAACGTGCAGTTTAAGCTCATGCATCAAGAAGCGTCATGACTTGCAGTTTAGGCTCGTACGTCGAGGAGCGTAGGTGACTTTCATGGGAAGTACTGCTTCAGAAATTTTCCGTTGATCGGACCAACTCTGAGACCATCCTTATCGACAATTTTGTATGCGCCACTTGAATATGCTTCCTTCACAACATATGGCCCATCCCATTTTGAGGTAAACTTGTCGCCTATGCGTTTGTTGAGGATTATGGGTCGTCGAACAGCTAGGACTAAGTCTCCCACTTGGAATGATCGTGGCCGCACTTTCTTGTTGAAGGCTCTAGCTAGTCGAGCTTGATAGCACTCCAATTTTTGTTGCGCTTCCAATCTTTTCTCATCCAATGCCTCTAACTCTGCTAGGCGAAGTTGAGCATTCTCTTCGGACGTGAGCCCTTCTTGGATTGCTATCCGCAATGATGGAATTTGTTGCTCCAACGGCAGGACTGCTTCTACGCCATATACCAAAGAGTAAGGAGTTGCTTGTGTAGCAATTCTGAAGGTTGTCAGGTATGCCCACAAAGCTTCACCAATTCTCTCATGCCAGTCTCTCTTGTTCTTTGCAACAACTTTCTTCAAAAGGTTACCAAGCGTCTTGTTAAAAGCTTCAGCAAGGCCGTTGGCAGGTGCATTATACATTGAAGACTTATGTTGTTTGAAACTGAACTTCTCGCATAGACTCTTCACGAGCTTGTTATCAAATGGCGTTCCGTTATCCGTGATTATGTATCTTGGTATGTCGTACCTAAAAATTATATATGACTTGATAAAATTGACAACAGTTTCCTTTTTCACCTCCTTGAGTGGAACAGCTTCCGCCCATTTAGAGAAGTAGTCCGTAGCGGCCAATATGTACATCTGTCCCTTTGATAACTTTGGAAGTGGTCCAACAACGTCAAGTCCCCATGCATCAAAAGGCCATGAAGCTACAGTTGGGTGAAGAGGCTCTGGAGGTTGGTGGATGTAGTTGGCATGAAATTGACACGCTTGACATCTTTGGCATGATCCATGCAATCCTTCACCATTGTCGCCCAGTAGTAGCCCATCCTCTTGATGCGAAAATGGAGCTTGGGACCAGATTGGTGTGCTCCACATGAGCCAGAATGTGCTTCCTCCATCGCTTGGCGGGCTTCTTCTTTGTCAAGACATCGCAAGAATAGTCCTTCAAAAGAGCGGCGAAATAATGTCCCCTTATAGAAGATGAATCGTGGTACCCTTCGCTTGATGTCTGTTCTTTGTCGCGGATCTTCGGGTAACTTTCCATGTTCAAGGTATTCTATCAATGGTTGCCTCCAATCTTCTTCTTCAATCACTCGAACAGACGTATGATGGCTTTCATTGATTTGAAGATCCAGAAGTCTAGGAATAACCCATCGATGACACATATATACCTTTGTTGACTCATTCTCTCCAAGTGCCATCGTCGTGGCCAAGTTAGCCAAAGCATCAGCCTTGCGATTTTCTTCTCTTGGGACGTGGTTTAAGAACACTCGGTCGAATTTTTCAAGTAAATCAGAAGCGTATTCATGGAATGGCAATAGATCTTCCTTCTTTACCTCGTAACTTCCCAAAAGTTGGTTGATGATCAGCTTAGAGTCGCCGTAGATCTCCAACTGTAGAATCTTCATTTCTAATGCCATTTCGAGCCCGACGATCAAAGCTTGGTACTCCGCGGCATTGTTGGAGCATGTTTCACCTAAAACAAAGGAGAATGGCAAGACTTGTCTTTCTGGAGAGATCAACACCACACCTGTCCCCGCACCGTTACGACGTGCAGATCCATCAAAGAACATTGTCCATGGTGAAAACTCTTTGATGAGCAAAACGTCTTCATCTGGAAACTCATCCGAAAGCTCCCATTCCGCCGGAAGAGGGTGATCAGCTAGAAAATTGGCTAGTGCTTATCCTTTCACGGATTTTGAGGTGTGTATATGATCTCATATTGGTTAAACAATATGGACCATCTTGCTAGGTGTCCAGAAAGAATAGGTCGAGTCATCACGAACTTCACGGGATCTGCTCGAGAGATGAGTTTGATGGTGTATGCTTCAAAATAATGCCTTAGCTTCTTTATCGCATAAAGTAACGCTAAGCATATTTTCTCAACAGGCGTATAGTTCATGTCAGCTCCTATCAGAGTTCGGCTAAGGTAGTACAAGGCTTGTTCCTTTCCTTCCTCATTCTCTTGAGCAAGCAGTGCTCCAAGTTAACGTTCCTGTGCCGCGATGTAGAGTATCAATGGCTTCCCAAGCATTGGCGCCCCTAACACAGGTGGATTCAGCAAGTATTTTTTGATGCTTTCAAAAGCATTTTGACATGACTGATCCCAATGAAAAGGGATATCCTTCCTCAATAGATGATTGAAGGGTTGACACCGTCCGGCTAGATTAGAGATGAACCTCCGGATGAATGCTAAGTTTCCTTGGAGACTTCGAAGCTCTCTCGAGTTCTTTGGCTTAGGCATTTTCTGAATGGCGTCAATCTTTGCAGGATCAACTTCAATTCCACGATGACGCACAATAAAGCCAAGAAACTTTCCTGAGGTAACTCCAAATGCACACTTGAGTGGATTCATCTTCAGGTCGAATTTTCTTAACCTTTCAAAAACAATTCGAAGGTCTTTAAGGTGATAACGCCTATTCTTCGTCTTTACCACCGAGTCATCGACGTAGCATTCAACCCTCTTATGAAGCATGTCATCAAAGATGTTTTGCATCGCGTTTTGGTAGGTGGCACCAGCATTCTTTAGACCGAAGGGCATCACTTTGTAGCAATATATCCCTTTTGGAGTTCGGAAAGCAGTACACTCTTCATCCTTTGGAGACATTCTGATTTGATTGTATCCGGAGGACCCAACCATGAATGACATAGCTTCATGCCCTGTTGTAGCATCAACCATGAGTTCAATAATTGGCAGCGGAAAGCCATCTTTCGGACATGCCTTGTTTAGGTCTCGAAAGTCAACACAAACACGTATTTGACCATTCTTCTTCTTGACAGGTACAATATTTGATATCCATGATGGGTACTTCACCTCTCGAATAAATCCCGCCTCGATAAGCTTGTTGACTTCGACTTCAATTTGTGGTACTAGCTCCGGTCGGAACATGCGTTGTGACTGCTTCACAGGGCGTGTTCCACTTTTGATCCCCAAATGATAAACGGCTACCTTAGGACTAAGACCGGGCATTTCTTTATTGTCACGACCCTAGCCCCGAACCCGGTCGTGATGGCGCCTCTCGTGAAGACAAGGCCAGTCGGACCAATACAATACACCTTTTAAAGCAATTAATGATCATAAAACAGTTTAAAGTATAACTTAATAGTAATAAATTCGCGGAAACATAGATAACAGTAAGGGGAAACCATCCCGACACAGCCCAAATCGGGGTGTCACAAGTCACGAGCGTCTAAGATAACAAATCTCTCAAATGTAACTACAGAGTCTCAATACAAGAATGGAAAGTAAAGATATAGATAGAGAGAAGCTTCAGGCTGCGAACGCCAGCAGCTACCTAAAGTCTCCTCGAAGATCCGCCTGAGCTGGGACGAGTCAACACTCAGGAGCGGGACCTGCTATGCCTAAATCTGCGCACACGGTGCAGGGAGTAATGTGAGTACTCCGACCCAGTGAGTAATAAATATAAATAATGGCTGAAAGCAAGAAAACACACGAAAGCACAAAGTAATCTATATAGAAGCAGTAAAATCACATTAAACAGTAAATCAATGAAGTAATCAAATAAAACCCCTTTTTAACAAGTAAAACAGGTAATTTGACAGGTAAATAACAAATAGAAATCCGCCCCTCGGGCACAGTATCAATCACTCATAACAGTATCAGCCCCTCGGGCTCACTCTCAGTATAGTATCATCCCCTCGGGCTCACTCTCAGATCAAATGGGTACCCGCGCTCACTGGGGGTGTACAGACTCCGGAGGGGCCCCTTACGACCCAAGCGCTATATCAAGCCACCTCGTGGCATCATCTATCGGCACTCGGCCTCATATCACTCAGTGTATCCTCACATATGGCCCTCGGCCGTACTCAGTCCGAAAAAAATCATCACAAGCCCTTCGGGCATTAGTAAACAGTAGTCCTCAGCCCAAAACAACATTTAGAAATATCATTTAAGTCTCAAAACTGAGTAAAAGTGGCTGAGTTGTAAAACAGTGAAAAGAAGCAGGACTGAGTTCAAGTAATAAATCAATACAGTGAGGCAACAGTGATAAAAATCCCCGAAGGGTTCAAATAGTTGGCACGATGCCCAAATATGGCAATCAGCCTAAATCATGATGATAACAAATAAGTTTTAGTCAAATACGCAGTAAAATCATCAATCGGGACGGACCAAGTCACAATCCCCAGTAGTAAACGACCCCACGCTCGTCATCAAGCGCGTGCCTCACATCAATATAGCACTACGATGTGCAAATCCGGGGTTTCAAACCCTCAGGACATCATTTAACATCATTACTCACCTCGAACCGGCTAAAACTCTAGCTCGCGACGCCTTTGCCCCTCGAATCGGCCTCCCCGCGCGTCGAATCTAACCAAAACCAGAACGAATACGTCACAATATGCTAAGGGAACAAAGCCCAAGCGAAAACAATCGAAAAATATCAAAAATCTCGAAATTAGCAAAACCCGAGCCCCGGGCCCACTTCTCGAAACTCAGAAATTTTTACATCAACGGGTTCCTTATCTCCTCACGAGTTCATACATACCAAAAGCTCTCAAATCCGACCTCAAATGGTCCTTCAAATCCCTAAATCAAATTTCAAAATCCCAAGCCCTAGTTTCTTCCATTTTAGCTTAAGTTCCATGAATTTCTAGGTTAATTTCACAATAGAATTATGTTTTAGGTTCAAAAATCTTACCTCCAATCAATTCTCCTTGAATCCCTCTTTAATCACCTTCAAAAAGCTCTCAAAATGCTCAGCTATGGGGGAAAAAAATGACTCAAAATCGCGGATGAAATGTTTTATAAACTTTCTACCCAGTTCTGGAATTCCTTCATCGCGTTCGCGACCACTGCCTCGCGAACGCGAAGCACATCTTTTATTTTCCCAAAATTAACCCTATGCGAACGCGAGATTCACCCCGCGAACGCGATGCTTTAGACTCTTATACCTACGCGAACGCGAAGAACAACAGCTCCTGGACCTCTCACGCACCAACTCCACTATGCGAACGCGACTGACCCTCACGCGAACGCGAAGCACCAGCCTCCAGCCTTCCAAGAACGCGAGTCATCAAACGCGAACGCGAAGGACAAACATAGACCACCCCAAAATCCTTCTAAGCGATCGCGACTCGCCCCTCGCGATCGCGAAGGCCAATATCTCTGCAACACCTGAACAGCAATTCTGCAACATTTCAACTTCAAAAATAGTCCGATTGACCATCCGAAACTCACCCGAGGCCCCCAGGACCTCAACCAACAGTACCAACACATCCTAAAACCTCATTCAAACTTGTTCCAATCATCAAAACACCTCAAACAACACCAAATCCATTAATTCATATCGAATTCAAGCCTAAGTTTTCTAAAAACTTCCGAAATACGCTTTCTTTCAAAAACCCAACCAAACCACGTCCAAATGACCTGAAATTTTGCACACACATCACAAATGACATAATGAAGCTACAGCAACTCTCGGAATTCCATTCCGACCCTCGGATCAAAATCTCACCTACCAACCGGAAATCGCCAAAATACTAACTTCGCCAATTCAAGCCTAATTCTACACTGGACCTCCAAATCTAATTCCGATCACGCTCCTAAGTCACAAATCATCTCCCGAAGCTAACCGAACCATCGAAACTCTCATCCGATCCCTCTAACACATAAGTCAACATCCGGTTGACTATTCCAACTTAAACCTTCTTAAAAGAGACTAAGTGTCTCATTTCTTACCAAATCCACTCCGAACGCAAACTAATCAACTAAATCACATAAAACACGAATAACGAAGCATAAAGAAGCAAAAATGGGGGAAACTGAGCGGTAACTCATGAGACGACTGGCCGGGTCGTCACATTTATACGACCAAGCGAAGACATCTTTGTACTCAGTCAATAACTTGGAATATTCCTCCTCCTCCTGAGGCGTAAGAAGCGCACTAATGAAGGTGGGGCGTGGATCTTTCGGAGTGCCTAAATTGAGTTCCTTAAGCTGATCCACAGTCGATTGTCCGCCATCTTCTAGTTGAGGGGGAGCCTCGTGTATTTCATCATCAACGTCAAGGCATGGGCTATCTTCCATAGTTATGTGATAGGATGTTTCCACAAAGTCTGACTTTTCTGTTTGACTTCCTTGGATAGTCTGCATGGCTTCTTTCTCTTTCTCTGCTTCTTTACGAGGCTGGCGAGTGTAAACAATGGTTCTCCTTTGCACCTTTAGCGGACCATCTGTGGATATTGACAAAATAGACTTCCTCTTCATACGTGATGGGAAAGCACTACAGATTTCTTTGTCAGCAACAACTTCAAAATGATCCCTCTCCTCATGGACTTGCTCCTTATGTTTTGACAGTGTCTTTCTAGATGGCGACTTCCTTGTGGTCCCTAGGCGACAAAAGACAGAGGTCTTGAGGTAGTGGAAACTTCTTTTAGATGTTTGGAAGATACACGTTGTAACGACCCGACCCGTCGTTACGGGAGTTACCACCCCGTTTTTCCCGTTTTATGTTTCTATATGTTTCATTATATGTGTTTGGAGAATTTGAAGTAATTCGTATAGAGTTCGGTTGGAAATGAGACAATAAGTCTCTTTATGAGAAGGTTAGTTTGGAAAAGTCAACCGAATGTTGACTTATGAGTTAGAAGGCTCGGAATGGATTTCCGATGATTCGACTAGTTTCGGGGGATGATTTGTGACTTAGGAGCGCAATCGGAATTGAATTTGGAGTTCCGGTGTAGAATTAGGCTTGAATTGACTAAGGTTGGATTTTGGCGAATTCCGGATGGTAGGTGAGATTTTGATCCGAGGGTCGGAATGGAATTCCGAGAGTTGCAGTAGCTCCGTTAGGTGATTTTGGATATGCGTGCAAAGTTTCAGATCATTCGGAGGTGTTTAGGTCGGGTTTTAGATCAAATGCAAGTTTCGGAAGTTTTAGTTTAACTTAGGCTTGAATCCGTGGTAATTCGATGATTTTAGTGTTTATGATAGTGTTTTTATGTTACGAGCAAGTTTGAATGAAGTAATAGAACATATCTGTGCATTTGGTTGAGGTCCCGAGGGCCTCGGGGTGAATTCGGGTGGTTAAACGAGAGTTTTGAGGTGTAATTGCAGGTCTGATTTTGCTGTCATCTGGAGTTTCTGCTTCTGCGGAAATGTACCGCAGAAGCGGGTACTTGGTCGCAGAAGCGGTCATTGTCCGGCTAGGGAAATACCGCAGAAGCGGAAGGTGGCTCGCACCAGCGGGTCCGCATAAGCGGACAAGGTGCCGCAGAAGCGGTCTTTGGAGGAACCGCAGAAGCGGACTTCGCGTCGCATAAGCGAAGTCCGGGCTTCTAAGTGAAAACCGCTTAAGCGGAAATGTGGCCGCAGAAGCGGTCCCGCATAAGCGAAAGCGGGACCGCAGAAGCGAAAATTGCTGGGCAACAGAAGGGTTTTAAAATAATATTTCATCCGCGACCCTTTCATATTTTTCCTCCATTGTTGACGTTCTTAAGAGCTTTGAACAAGGAAATTCGAGGGTTTTGACTGAGAATCACTTGGAGGTAAGTTCCTTGGCCTAAATATTCAAATTTATGGTAGAAATTACATGTAAACTGTAGAAAATTCATCAAAAACGGGTCAAGCTAGGGCTTAGAAAGCTGTGATGTAAAAATGGAATTTGGAGGGTCAAACGAGCTCCGATTTTGGTAAGCTTTATATGCACGGACTCGCGGCGAGACGAGGAATCTGTTGGTGTGATTTTCGGAATTTTTCGAGAAGTGGGCCCGGGGCTCGGGTTTTACCAACTTCGTGAATTTTAGAACTTTTCGAGTATTTTTGATTGGGTGATGTTTCTTTAACCCATATTTATGTATTCGCTGTGATTTTCACTAGATTCGATGCGCGAGGAGGTCGATACGAAAGGAAAAGGCATTGCGGACCATTCTACGGCCGGTTAGAGGTGAGTAGTTGGTGTATATGATGGCCTGATGGTTTGAAACCCCGGCTTATCACATTGTGACGCT